TGTGATTTTGGGTGAATTTTTCAGTTCACCGAGTCTTGCTTTAGCAGATAGCGTTACATTAACTTATGTATCAGATAACCCAAAACAGGTATTGTAATATCAGAATTCTCGGTACTATACTCACTAATACACATTGAGATGATGTGAACATCATACATACAAATTTTTGTAATAACTTTAAATCTCTGAAATGATGTAGAAATTAAAATGCTCATTTCAATGAACATTTTTTGATTATATTGTAAAATATTTTAAATGTGGAAAATGCTCAAATATGAATTTTTTAAATGTACCATTTTTTGTCAAATGATGGTATTATTACTGTATAAAATTTAAAGAATGTATTTCTGATTTTTCTTTTTTTTATATTTGAAAAAAAATTTTACAAAAAATGACAATATACCTGAAATGGTTGATAAAACGGATAAATTGATTTATCCATTTTGTCAACCATTTCAAGTATGTTGTCATTCATACTATCTTTATTTAATAGAGATTTTTTGATTTTTTTTTCTAGTTTGGTACAATTCGGCTTCTTGGAAGTTTTGGCTGGGGTTTGGCAATGTTTATTATGGGTATTGGCTTAGATTATTCGGAAACTTTCCGCAATCATCCATGTCCAACAAAGAACACCACCGAAAAGAACTATACGCTATGTTTTGTCGCATATTCATTATTCATGCTTGCTGCAATGCTTGTTGGTAAAAGCAAAAGTTGCAATCTAATAAAATTTTAATGGAAGAAAAAAATAAACAAATAAATGAAAAAACATCAGAACTGTTTACCTTCTCTTTTTAGCACATTTTTTTGAAGATATAATTTTTTATAAATTTTAGGAAATTATAAATTTTAGAAAATCTGCAAAAATTAAATTAAAATTTTTGAAAAAATAAAATTTTGTTAGCTACACAATTTCGCTTCGGTAATGAACAGCGTCCGGATGACGCAGCTTGTACGGTAATAGAAACTCGAATTGATGAACTTGCTCCAGCAGTAGCAGAAAAAGCTCGAGTACGACAATTACAGGTATATTTTAAAAGCATTCCTATTCATTTTTTAAAAAAATTAATTTTTAAATTGATTATTTATTGCCCCATAATTTTTAGTTTTATCTTTTTTTTCAAAAAAAAGTTTAAAAATTATTTATTAATCATCTGTTATCAATTTTTATAATTCAAAAAAATGAATCACTGATTTATTTTATCATTAATTTCTTATTCATTATCTTATTAAAGTTGGAGCATTCACATGATAATGCACAGTGGATTCTAACTATCAAAGCACTGTTTCGTGGCCATGCGGCACTTTATCTGTTGACTGTTACGACGATTGGTTTTGGTGCCGGAATCATTTTTACCTTCCTTTTCTGGCATTTACAGGTGCTTGAAGAAAAAATTTTTTACTTTATTCGTTTTAAAAAAATTTGAAAAATAAGTTTATTAAAAAATGCTTAAATATTTTTTTTTTATTAGGGGAAGCTTAAATGTGCTATTGAAAGATATTGAGATAATGTAACTGAATAAATATTTATGTATTTTCAAAAGTCACTTAACTTTTTTAAATTAAATGAAAATTAAATTTTAGATTGTACATAAACTAAGTATAGCATAGAAATATTCCAAAAAAAAAAATAGCAAAATTTTTGTTGCTTGATTTTATAATAAATTATGCTAATAATTAAATTTATTTAAAAACTGATTCGAAAAAACTCTTTAAAAAACACATTTTTGACTAAAAAACATGATCCTATCCAATTTAGTAAGTGCAAATTAATTGAAGAATTTGTTTAAAACATTGAAAAATTATTGTAGGACTTTGGTGGTTCACCAATTCTGTTCGGTTTTGCATCGGTGGTTAATCATGGAGCAGAAATTGGTGCTCATTTTTACTGTTTTCAACTGATTAATAAATTTGGCCACATTAAGGTTAATTACATGAATAACATTAATTGACATAACTATGAAATCATAACAGTAAGATATTAGATAATTATTGGAATAAATTATGAAAAATATTAACTGCAATACTGTAATTACGAAATTATAATGGTAAAATATTTGATAATTATTAAAATGAAAAAATTAAAAATAAAATATAATTAAACAGAGTCGGTAAAAAAAGGATTGAAGTTACAAGAAAGAATAATAATACTCTTGCTTCATTAATAATATAATAATTATATAACCTTAAATTCAATAATCCGATTTGAAAATGGTACTTTATCCTTCTTGCAATTTTAAGAAATATTCCCTCATTTATGTCTCAATTTTCAGTTAATAAATATTTGCCTATTAACTAATGTAATTCGTTTCTTCATAATTAGTTTACTCACAAATCCATGGATGGTACTTCCATTACAAGCATTACAAGGTAATCTTATTTTTATTTCTAACTCTTTCCTCCTAACATTTCAATACATTTAATTTAATCTAATTTTTGCAAAATGCCTTTAAGCACTACTAATCCATACTTTATTGCTATATTTCAAGTTGAATTAGATTGGAAGTTAAATAATCGGTTGATAAAATTTGATAAAATATAAAAAGGAAATTTTTTTTCTACTTTTAAGGTTTAACTCTGGCAACAACATGGGCATCTGCGTCATCATACATTTCACTAATTGCTCCATCACAATTGAAAAGAACAGCACAAACTCTTCTAATGCTTTTATATCACGGAATTGGAAAAGGATTTGGAAGTATTATTGGTGGTTGCATTATTAAATCTGCAGGTATTATACATACATTTTATCAAAGGGACTAATTAAATTATCACTAAATAGGACAGTAATAATCATTGTCTAATCATCATCATTGTATTTTTAATATTATAATTAATATTTTTATAACAATAATATATACGTCTAATTTAAGCTAACAATTTTACATCAATTAATTCAATATTTCAGGCACACGGCTAACATTCCAGATTTATTCCATTATTGCATTACTCATATTGGGTATACATTATGGAATGAATCGATTATTCAAATATGACGATATTAAATATAGTCATGAATTTGACGATGATGATGATATGCCTGTTGGTGAGAATTATTTCATGTTTTCATCTTCTTTTTTTTTGAAATTTATTTTACAAATTTAATTTTAAAGCTTTTGATATCATACAATATCACTGAAATATTTCATTATTATTGCCAAAATTATTGTAGAACAGAGAGGAATTAACATTCCAAGTCTTCAATGATATGATATCCATTCAAAAAATTATTCGAATTAAAATTATAAAAAAGTTGAAAAACAGGAAAAAAGTTAATTGTTCAATTTTAGTAATAATAATTATTGTTATAGCACCTCAAGGATTACCGTTACATCATGGTGAAAGTAAATTAACTGATGCTTTCAATCAAACATCTGTTACAAATACAAATTATGGTACCATTGAAACCAAAGATCCAACCCAGGAAGCGTATGATCGTTACGTTAAGCTACCACCCGTGAATAATATGTGATTAATTAAGCTCATTTATTGTGTGTTTTATTTATAATGTCGCTATCATTATCACTGTTAGTACAGTAAAACGCTTAGTACTAAACCCGAATATATATTTGAATTACTTTCCATTGTTAGCATCACAAGTATAAGTAATGTGTCTAAAACTAAATAACATTTATGAAGAAAATTAATTCGAATCAAGTTCTGTTTTCTTTCATGTAAGCCTGAAAAATAAAACCATCATTTCAGGCCAGATAAGCTAAATTAACGACTGTAACAAATATACTAAATTATTAAATTTATTTTTGAAATCCTATAACCATAGTTATTTGGACTTATCCGGAATTGTTTTATATAAAAAAAGAAAACAAACCCAAAAAATTTTCAGTCTAATTTCTTATTATTCATTAAAATATGCATTGTATAACGATGTGTTTTTTGACCCTTTCTTTATGCTTGATCAATTCATATCACTTATATAAAATTTTGGAAATACAATTTTTGGATTACTTCCAATTCAAATAGGGAAAGTAACACACAGATGGAAAATGGTAAAAAATGAAAATGGAAGGAAAAAAAGAAATATATACAAACTGGAAATACGGCTCATTACTATCTTTTAATTACAAACCTGAAAATGATATAAGCGAATCTTAAGATAAAGCCTGAAAAATAAATAGTTTCAGTAGAGATTTCATTGAGATTAAATTTAAGTATTTTTAAATTATCAGACAGAAATATATACAATTGAATTTCTAAAGAGTTTTTTATTGAAGAACTATATAAAATTAATAGTGAACAGTGAGTATTTATGATTTATAATCTAATTCCTAATTATATACAAGTAAAAGATTGGGATATGTTCTACTATGCGCTTTCCGGATTATTCAAAGAATTTCCAAAAATTATCAAGCATCATTACAAGCAATTTACTATAACAATTCAAACGGTTGTCAAAGTGAGACTTTTTTATAAAATTAATCAGTTTTCAAAACCATGTCCCAAAAAAATTCAAATTTTGTCAAATTTTGTCCATACATAAGGGATATATTATAAATTTTAGTAATTGGGAGGAATACAAAAAATAATTGCCATGAATGATCCGGCATATATAAAAATTTCTATTTATAAGAGAGAAAAAAATAAGTTCTACACTACAAAGTGAAATTTTGAAAAGAAAGATACTACAACTGAAGCTCACAAGAAATATCACTAACAATAACTGTATATAAAGGCACATTGAATAAGTAACGAAGAAGGAAAAAATCTTATGCATAATGCTTTGTAATTTTTAGTAATCTACCAATCAATCACTTTTTTTCTATAACGAATTTTGAACAAACAAAATCTAAAATAGTAGAAATTTTCCGTTATCTAGCACTTATCATATACAGCTGAGCAACCCGAGGAAATTTATTATACAATTCAGAAGTGATCTAGTTAAAATGTATAATCTTTCGATTTCGGCTTTTCAGTTTGCATTTTTGAGCAATTATTCGTATCATGTCCAAATTCTGAAATAGGTAAAAATAGATTAAAAAATTGAAAAAAGCGATTGAAGATAAATTTGAAATACACGATGTAATATAGGTTTGTAGTAGTTATCCAATGAAAATTTTGATCTGAAGAGAAATAAAAAAAGACATATCTTACCTTCACACTGCTCACAATAGGGCCGCGCTTGTGGTTTCACCTTTTTGTTTTTCTCACGAATTGGTTCTTCTTCCAAATCCATCGCTTGTGTTGGACAATCGGTAGTATCATGCAAATCAAATACTTCACATATATCACAATATGATCGTAGTGGGACATCCTGTGTTTTACGATGAAGTTCCGTTATTCTGAAAATTTGATTTTAATTAATTGAATATTTAGTAACTAAATACAAAATTACAACAGTAGATGAACGTGAAACTATGTGGTAAATTTGACCATCATCGCAAAAAATTTTGATTGAAAGCTTAGAATGAATAGCAGAAAACTAATATCAAGTTCAGATCCAGAATGAGTGAGACAAAATTGCTTGATAAACCGAGATTACTTTGCACTACTTAAACAACCAAGGTTTGGATCAAAAAGTGCTGGCAACATTACAATCAGAAAGGTCTTTAAAGTACAACAAGTTTAATCAAGTTTGCGTTCCTGTCTTAAAATAGAACAAAGAATTTTGAAATATGATTGAAGTTACGGAATTTGAATTATTTCTCTAACTGACACTTTATTTTTACTTTCCAAAATGCAACTTACATTTCATTTGCAGGCAATGAATTGAGAATTGCAATTTGTTCTTTCAAGTCTTTCTCTTTCTTATACTGCTCTGCTATAATAGAATTGAGAAATGATATCTGCAAAAATTAGGTGTAATTGAGAATAAAACAAATGGCATTTTTTTAAAATGAAAACTTACAGAAAACTTTCATTAACTTCAACCAAAGAAATAAATTTGAGTAATATCATAAAAACATATCTCCACTAATTAAAAGAAACAGCAGAAGAGTGCAGTAAATTACCGATTCCTCTATTTCGTCTTATCTATTTCACTCACATTGGCAGCCTTTCCATTTCTACGAGAAACATTATGAAAAAATGCTTTAATAACTAGAAACCCAACTATTTTATTCTACTTACATCTCGTTTCATTTCCTCAATTTTGTCAGTTTCTGTTTTACCGACTGCTATCTTCAATTCTTGTATTTCCTGTACATATGCGTTTTCTTTGTTCTTCCACTCTTCTTCAAAATCGACAAATAAAGTACTGCAATAGATTATTTTAAATCAAAATGCGAAAATATCAATCGCCAAAAAGGGAAAAACAAAACCCACTTCCGCTGTTTTGCTTCTAAAACCACTCCTTCATTTTCTGCTTGTTTCTTCGATAATCCAAGGATCTAAATTGATAAAAACCATTTTACGAATTTTTAAATTTCCAAACCAATCTTATGATTGACCTCTCTTAGACTTTTCATCAATGTTTGATTTTTCTTTTAATTTAATCAACAAAATTCATCAGCATATAAATCTCAGGAAAGTAATTTTAGATGATACAGCAAAATTATACACCAAAATAACCAAACACCAGTTCCTCAAAACAGAGCCAACCTCCAATCCTTAAATTCATTTGCTAGATTTTTGATAAATAAATTATAAAAAAAAAGCACTCTACAGCAAAAGAATGCTTTACGATTTGTTAAAATAATTACGGTTAAGTACCTCTAATTTCAGCAAATTTATCTGGCTAATAGCTTGGTTTTTTTCTTCTTTCAAAGCATTAATTTCCTTTTCATATTGTTCATTACGTATAATATTTACGTTGTTGATACCATGCTATAATTAAAATATAATTCATAGAAAATATAACCAGGGATTTAGAAAAAAATCCATAAAAGAACATCATTAATAACAAATCCCTTTGCAAGCTCTTCTTTTCTTTCTTACTCATCGAAATCTGTATGAAAAGCAACTGCGATAATTACGAATACTTTTAAAGCATTTTGAAATTTTGACTCACGAAATGAGTAAATATATTTACCTCAGCATCCGATGAATTTGTGGTTCCCCCCTTGTTTTTGCTTTTATCCGCAATATTTATCATTTCCATTTTCAAAACATTCAATTCAACATCTTTATCATCTCGTTCTTTTTCCAGTCTGCAGTGGTTTTACTAGATATCAAAAGATAGATTTTGAAGATAGTCTACAATATTTTTTTTTGGAAATGACACACTAATATTAATATCTAAAAAATCGAATTGTATTCGTAACCAATTATAAATATGCACCGAGAAATATATTGTTCAAGATCTGATTTCTTTTTGGCCAAACAATTCAAAACAACTGAAGTTTCATCATTTGATTTGTTCATATTAGCTGTTACTTCTTTCAAAGTAGCAATCTGGAACAAACAAAGTAGCAATCTATCAAACATCTGCTATTACATATTTTTTTCAGTTAAAATTCGGAAAAAGTCTGTGGAAAACAATATTTGCCTCTGAAATCAGAAAAGTTTTACCATTAAATACATTTACCTCTGCCTTTAATGAATTTATGATGCCATCTTTGTTTTCATTTTTATCGTTAATATTTATCATTTTTGTCTTCAAAATATCCAATTCAGCATCTTTATCGTTTCGTTCTTTTTCCAGCCTGTAGTAAATTTTTAATTTAATGTCAAAAGATTGTAATTTTGGGACAGTTTACACAGCTGTTGATCCATTCTCTTAATACAATTGATTCTTAATTCTGGAAAGTAAATAAAGCGCTAAAGTTAACTGCAATATATAATAACAATGATCATTATCTCCTCCCACTGGAACATTGGCTGCTTCGAAAAATAAACGCTTCATGGATCAGGATCTCTTGAGCCGAGTGATAAAACTTCCCTACAGAACTATTTATTCTAATAAGCCTGAAAAAATTTTCATCTCTAATTATATATTTCAGCACATCTTACTGTTCTGTAACAACTTAACAGTAATACGAAGTATAGATAGAAAACAGTTAAACGAGTTCAACATAGCAAGTAGCAAGAAGAGAACATAATAAGCAGCTATGTACAAAAAGAAAGGCGCCCATCACACTTACAATAGTACGGAGACATGCAACGATACTAATATTATTCCGAACGTTTCGCCTTCTACCACCAAACGCTTGTTTGAATTTCTGGAGATATGTGTCAAACAACTTTATCAACTCGAAAATGTGTCCGACCCAATCTTTGCAACATAGAATATATCAAAATAAATAAACAAACTTATTTAGCGAAGCAGCAAATGTACTACGTTCCTGTTCAAGCTCAGATAATTTCTCGGCAGCTAACGCCAAATCAGATTCTTGCTTTCCCTTTTCGACCATCAACTTCTCAATTTCTGCCTTCTGGAATTCAAAAACTTATTGTCCAGTGCTAATTAATGTTTAATTAAGCCTGAATACTACTGGAATTTGTAAAATTTCCACTTGCCAATCTTTTTTCTGTATTTGTTTGATGAATTCTTTCCTCCAACAAATTACCGATTTTTTCTTCCAATGATTCGCCTTTACAATCAATTGTGCTTAAACGCTTCCTTATACTGAAATTAATGGCCAGTAATAAAATACGATATATTTTGGAAAAGACTTAAAATTGACGACTACAGGAAACTAGCCTTTTCAGCTCAGCTCCGAGTTCCCGCACTTTTTCTTTGTAATCACTATCAATGCTAACACGACTTTTCAACGATTGTGTTAATGCTTCGTAACGTTCTCGCACCTTTGAATGCTGCAAATTTGTTTAGATCAGAAAAAATAAATCGTGAAGAATCCTAAAAATTCGCGGCAATCTATCAACAGAAAGATATCAGTTTATTGTACAATACTTACATACATATATGTATTTAAAAGGATTAGAGCCTAAACATTGCCTCTTTCTGCAATTCGGCCTTTTCTTTCAAAATGTTTTCTTTTTCGGCTTCCAAATCACGTATCCTTTGTTTTGCACAACCAATCTCTGACTGTAACCTGCAAAACAAATAACCTTTTAACATCTATCAATCAATTTGATTACTTTCTGTTTAAGTTAAAAGATAAAAAGCAGAATGAATAAATATAAAGGGCACTATCATGCTAAATATCTAAGATGAAGAGTACATGAAATTTACTCCGTCAATTTGATCAACTACGCGAAATTTGATAGCTATTGATCTGATGCCTATTTCTTATATTTCCCAAGAAGATTAGAAAAAAAGATTGATTTAATTACTTTTTAATCTTATTAAACTGTTTATTATCAATGTCATTAATGTATACATTAATGACACGTATTCACAAATGTTTCATTCAAAATTTAGTGTTGACATTAGGACAAAGTTGAATCCAGAAAAGAGATGTATTACGTATAAATCGATATACTTTTAATATGAACTTTTAAAGTATATAAAACTATGCAAGTACACTTAGATAAATGAATAATTCATCATAATGTATGCATAAACACTAAACACTACTCTTTTTACATTGCGAGTATCTTGCTA